CGTGTGTATATATTTATATTCAGGGGACATTGATCCATCAATTCAAAGAAACACTTACTGCTATTCTCTCTGGCATTTCAAATCCAAATATTAAAAAAAAAATACATTTAATTAATATCACCTTATCAAGGATTATTAGCAACAGCTACAAAAAATATTTACATTGAATAATAATTCAATATTTTACAATTTATTGCCAAATACTACATCTATATAGACACTATGCACTGACATTCACCTGACTCAACTTCATTTTATCCCATGCACTAACCTCCCAGTGCACGGTTCAAGAAAAAATACAGGTTAAAATATGAAGGAAGAATTTTAGTTTGATAAAGCATGATATAGTTGTGATTGCTAGGTTATAGTATAAATGTGATGAATTTTAGAGATTTAGAAATAGGAAGTAAAAAATATAACAAATATGTATATAATTTAAATCATATTTCTATCCAAAAATTTGTGTACTTTTTCTCATTTTCTGAATAAACATGATCTTGTTTGCATTAAGTCATCTGTATCAAACAATTACAATTCTTGTCTAATTTATCAAACAATCAGTGGGTGCCTTACTAAAATAAACGAGAGGGTAGATTTCATATTCAGGTTTTGAGAAGATTTGAATATATTTTCCATGCATCACATATGCAATCAGTGTGACATCGGTATACAATTAATATTAAAAAACAAATATTTCTTTTAACAAAATTGACATTCAAATGATTTACATCTAGAAACATGTAGATGAATATTATCAATTTTATATTAAAGTGAATTTAAAAAAACATATACACATGAGTTCTTATCAAAAAATATACAAATTGCAATCATAATATATATTATGATATATAATATCATAATAGCCTTTGCCATCATGTCTCTTGTACATATTTGTCACTCATGCATGATGGATGGTGGCAGCATCACATAAAATGCATCATGACTGCAATCCCACAATTTTCTCTGTAGCATCAACCAGTTTCCTAGCAACCACATCATCCTGTGCTTTTTTAGCTGGGTTATCCAGTTTACACTCGCTGAAATACCGTCCACTGATACCCTGAACATTTTCACTGATGGAGAGATAAATTGGAGTTTGTGCACCCTCTCTTGGTGACTGAAAAGAAAAACAAATATGAATTCAAAATTAAAGTATTAAGGTGTTTTTCTATATTCAAAATATGTTGTCAAATATTGATACATATTTATTATGATTCCATTGACAGATGACTGAACAAACAGGACATAAAGTTTATTATTTTATTTAAAGAACAAATCATTGATACAACACATTTATTAAAATGATCCAATCTAAAAAAAATGATGTGCATCAAGATCCTATTATATTCAATGAATGTACCAAGTTTGAATGAAATTTATTGTGCATGTTTTTTCATGATATCTATTCTCAGCAACCCACAAAATATTATTATCCATGAACTCACTTACCCGAAAAAATATTGCCGAAATAGGCTTGATAAATAACCGTACATAAAACGGCATTCTATCAAAAAGACCAGTGTTCACAGAACCGGGATGACAGCAATTAACAGTCACACCTGAAAGAAAGCATAAATTATGCCATTGTTTATTGTTACTAAGGTATCTGAAGTGAGTTACTTTATGAGTACACCAGTGAACTGTTGTTGGTAAGTCAGATCATATTACCGGTATTAACATTTGATATTTGATGCATGTTGATAGCCCCTAAGCCATTCATGAAATACCTGTTGATAGTCCCTAAGCCATTCATGAAATACCTGTTGATAATCCCTAAGCCATTCATGAAATACCTGTTGATAATCCCTAAGCCATTCATGAAATACCTGTTGATAATCCCTAAGCCATTCATGAAATACCTTATGATAGTCCCTAAGCCATTTATGAAATACCTGTTGATAATCCCTAAGCCATACATAAAAGGTCACTATGCACCCAAGTTTTCATAAAAGTACATAAGACTGACAACTACAGAAGGAACAGCATAATCTATATAACACCAGACCTTTTTCTGGTCAGCCATGTACTTTTACATTGACTTGACCACACAAGGGTTAATATCGGTAGATATACTTTCATTTAATAAAGTGAATTAAATGTGAATACCATCAGCCTTTATAAATGACTTTCTCTGAGGTGGAAATAAATTTCCAAATTATTAAAACTGATTTTAGTATTGCACATTTTCACACAAGTTGTGAATAATGTTACAGCATTTAAATAATAATCACGGCGATTCTTTCAAATTGAAGTCAATTTAAAGCATACACATACCTATTCCAGCTAATCTCTTTGCTAGTTGACGAGTTCCCAAAATAACAGCAAGTTTACTATCTGCGTAGGATCTCATGAGATATTTCAGCGAAGTCAAACGCACGCCGCGTAGATCGGCAAAATCAATGAAACCTTGTTCATATGCGATAGAAGTGACATTCACTACACGGCTTGGTGAAGACTTTGACAGGAGATCTATCAGCAGAAACAAGAAAAGCTGATATTAAAAACAAAACACCCGAGGACGCAGTGATAATTCAGATATCACACCAAAATTTTTTATAGGCCTGTGATGATAATTCAAAACTTATTTCTGAGAACAAGAGATAAATTAATTACGTCTAAATGTGGACAGTATGACTACAGTATGAAATATACAACCTACTTACCTAGCAAGAGATTTGTCAAGAGAAAAGGCCCATAGTAATTGATTGCATAGGTTTCATCTAGTCCGTCTTCAGTTATTTTCTTAGGACCAGCTGCAAACATACAAGTGCATATTGCAATAAAATGTATGAGCATTATTATCTGATAGTGGTTATATGCATGAATTGGGGGGGGGGGTCATTTAGTAGATGGGTGAGGGTGTTATTTATGGAGACAGCATGTAGTTTAATCTTTAGGGGTGGTTGTTGTGGGTTGATAGGAGACACCATGAGTGGATTTTGTGATGTTGATCATAGCGTGTATGTTATGGTGTTTATCATAGAATTTGGTGAGTTATATGAGATGTATAGGATAGAGAGGTTATTGTATGCAGCTAACTGAGAACTGATAAGGGCACAGATGCAGATATACAACATGTAGTATTATAAATATGGGGGCATGGAATGAAAGTCAACCATTATATGGAGAATAAACAGTGCAATCTATCCTGCATGAACTCAGTGACACACTGTGTTATCCTTACCCGTAACTCCAGCATTGTTTATTAAAATGTCCAATCTTTGCTCTTCATTTCTAATCTCTTTTGCTAAGCGACGGATTGATTTAAATGATGATAAATCCAGCTCTTTGGAAATAATATTGGTGTTTCCAGATTCACTTTTGATAGATTCTACCACTTTTTGACCAAGTACAACATTGCGACATGGTAAGATGACCCGGGCATTACGTTTGGCTAAATCTAGAGCTATTTCATAACCAATACCTGTAAGAATACATAACTTTAAATGAATAAACTGTGTTGTGAAGCATAACAACTTTACAACTTTTTAATATTGTTAAACTTGAAACAGAAGTATTACTAAGAAAATGACAATATTGTTTTTTGCTTTTTTTTAAAAAGTTAAAAAACATTTAATCTGGAAGATCCATGTGATACATTCAATATCTAAGAAGAAATTTACATTAGTTCCGATATCCCTCAGATTATTCATTACCCATAAGTACATATATTTGTCTTTCTGACAAAAAGACTCAATTTATTCAATTTATATAATTTGTCATTCGATCAGAGCAGTAAATGCACCATGCTTGGGTCAAGAAATTTAATATTTTGGTCAGGGGAAAAGTATTATGATAAGTCAATGATGATTAGAAGGTATTTACAAAGAAATCACGATTGATTGAGTGGTTTTTAATCATTATTTCAAATTTATATAAGTTTTTTTTTTATGCAAAAGCTATTCATGCCATCTTACCTCTATTGTAATAATGTAATTATGTTAGTAATACAGATGAGGTTTATGTTAGGAATATAACAATGCATAATACATATGAATTATTAACTGCAATTATGCAAAAATTTAATTAGTAGCTTTATGTGTAATGTAAATGACTTGAAGGTATTAAAGTATGTTTTAAAATTGATTGTATGTATGTTGAGAAAAGACAAAAACAAATATTATCAGTTGAAAGACGTTTCTTTTTTGTTGCATCACTGTGTGATATTTATATGAATATAAAAAAATAATAAAATAAATGATATTTCACTAAATTTAAAAAATGTTACATACACATTGCCAGTCACAGATGAAAATACAATGGTTGCCATGAAAACGAGTTTTCCTCTTCCTGATAGTGTTATTTCAAATATATATACACATTTTTTAGTCTGGGGGTTAATTTTCTTGCCATCCTTCCATCTTTGAAATGTCACATCACAAGACTATTTTAATTTTAATTTTTTTAATTTTAATGTTATTCCAGATTATTCCCACAATGTGCGCCAGTGTAAACTTCCAGCATAATTCAATTGCCTTCGATAATTTTTGCCCAATGATTAATTATGATTAAGACTATTTGATGACTGATTATAATATGCATAATGTTAATGTACAGTATGTTATGTACAAAACTTCAGAAAAAAAACATTCAGTACCTCGACTTGCACCGGTGATCAGAACTGTCTTGCCGACCAGGTCGATTCCACTGGAAAAGACACCTTTCAGCCGAGCCATGTGTAATTTATACACCACGTAGATTGCTACAACACACGACAGTACGTATACAAACATCTTCCGCTATCCGACTCGCAAAATTCTCAGTAAAAATGTCGTTAAAATGCATTTACGTGTGACCTAATCCACAATCTAATTTGAGCAGACGAACACTGACCTGAGAAAGGTGAGGTCAGTCAGCGGATCAGGTGATATATCACGTTATTTATTCAACTTTGAACCTTTGCTTGGATTGAGATTGCAAATAGTTGTGCAACATACTAGTAGTTGGAAGCAGTTAATTGTTTACACTGAATACTAGTATATTCCGCACATAGTACTAGTATATTCCGTCATAGTCGCCACGATATATTGAATAACGATCGGGATAGCAACATGCCGCGAAGAAACGGTCTGTTCCGGTTAAACGAAATATGCGTGCAGTACATTGCCAACCACATAGAGTTCTGGTGCGAGGACTACACTAAAAACTACATGGGGAAACACAGCTTTCTCCACATCATTGGACCTTTCGAAGATTTGAGTGAGTATGTGATTGTAGTTTTGGAGCGTGGGTATTCGTGAACGCCCATATTCAACTTCGCCAGAAGTGACACGCCCACGTTGTAAAGTTGACATGCCCATAACGCGTGTACCGGACGTTGATGAACAATTTTCGACTGTACTGCACACTCGTTGGCTGTCGCAAGTGTTCCATTTTGCCTTTTCACTGTCCATGTCTGCCACATGAAAAACACAGCGAATTTTCAAGGCTATATACTTATGACTTGTCTGGCAATTGCTGTATATATCATACTTTTCCTTGACCTCATACAAAGGTGACATTTTACATTGTTGGTACAGTCTGTATCATACATAAATAAGTTATTATGGGAGGGGGTCAATAAATAATTCCCTCCTAATCTCGAAATCACACGTCGTTAGACTGATGCTCTACAAAAGAAATTCATTTCGAATATATTTTGAATTTGTTAAATAAAATTTATATTTTACCCCCCCTATTTTATTGATATGCAAATTGATATGCTGAAATAAAAGTAAAAAAAAGTTTTCAGACACACTATAGGTTTATGTAAAATATTAAGGGCAGAGGTCATCACGCAGCACAAATTAAAATTACAAATTAATTATTCACTGGTTTTTAATTGCACTATTTTTTCTGATAGCGGAATTTGCTAAATTGTAATCCACATGAACATGTAAAATTTAAAATAAAATTTATTGATTAGCTGAATTTGAAAAAGAACATATTTATGCAAAAACTATGAACAGACAATCATTAGATTTGTAGTTTATTCAATCAATTATTTAATTTTTCATAATTATTTTTTGACAGCTTCTGAACAGGTGCAGAAAGTGTTATCAACATTACAGCGAAAGCGCCAGCTTGCACGTCATCATTTGCAGCTACTCTTACATAACCGAGTTCAACATCTTGATCTGAGCGGTTGCAGTAAAATTATCAATGATCAGATGATTTATGTGGTGGCAGCAAGGTGCAAGGTAAAAATTAGTTTAAAACTTTTTTTTAAGTCAGAACTGGTTTTATATTAGTTTACATTCAACAAAACATATTTTAGGAATTCAAGGGGTTAACAAATTTTTTTTTGCATTTTCCAAGGAATATCTCATGACAAATTTATATGATGATCGTTTTTGTTTGAATGAAACACATTTTTGCAACTTGTAACATAATTCAAGATTTTTTCGTCATATACATGCTGGGTCTTTCACTAATATATAAATTTTTATTGTTTTTATTTTTTTCTATTTTTACAGAGATTGAAGAATTTGAATTTATCCAACTGTAGTCGTGTCAGTTCCAAGGCTTTTCTGACACTAGCAGACAAGTTATCTGACGCTATCTGTCTGAACTTGAAACAAACGCGCTGCATTGGTGACGCCCTAAGACTGATTATCACAAACTGCACAAAGCTCAGGGAGCTTAATCTGCAGGGAGTCCAGGTGAACGATAGTGACATCTTTTTGATGTGTCAAGCAGCACAGAAAGGGGAGGGATGTTGTAGGTTAGTCTCACTGGATGTCCTAGACACGTGGGTAACTGAGAAAGCCGTCACTGCAGTCATCAATCACTTACCAGAAATCAGACATTTGAACTGTAATAACGTATTTGTTATTTTCCCTGAGGGAATGGAAAGACATGGGCAAGAAATAGATGGATGTGATGTTGGAATTGCTCCCAATAAAATGTGTAAACTAAAGTCTTTAACAGCTGAAAATCCTAATGCTTTGATTACAGACAACAATTTGTTTGTAACTTGTCTTCATTGCCCCGAAGTCACAAAAGTCGTGCTTGCTGGCCCACACGGTTTCACAGATGCTGGCTTGCGCCATATTGTGTCATTAAATAAGCTCAAGGAGCTCACTATAAGTAGCCATCATAATAATATTTCATTTTCTGGTGGTGTGCTTCCAATTCTTCAAGCTGTCGGGAAGAAGATAACACATCTACATTTGCAGGATCTAGAAGATATTGATGTTTATGCTATCGGATTTCTGTGTCCTGAACTGCAAAGCCTAAATATTGATGTAAGAAGTCTTGACATTTGTAACTTTATATCTGAATCCTCGTTCAATACACAAGCAGTCGGCCAGCGGCGAAACCCATTCGACAAACTGCGAAAGTTAGTGATGTATGCACAGGAAGAAAACATGACCGATGACACCATGTTGGTTCTCCTAAAACACAGCCATGAACTCGAAACTGTTGACATCATTCACATGGGAAGTTTCAAAGATGCAGTTCTTTTAGAAGCCTTAGAAAACAACAGGCTGTTAAAGCTTTGCAAATTGAGTGTGTTTGGCTGTGGTAGTCTCTCGCATGCACCGATTACTCAATTACTCCTGGATGATCAAAATGAAATTGGCGATATTCGATTATTAGAATGCCGTGAAATTAGTCTCCAGGATAGTCGAGACTTCCTAAAAATTATCAGGAAGGGGCGGTATAATGTCACATTGGAGTGGACCTAAAACTGAAGTTGTAATTTTAATTTTAACACTTCCACCATTATTGAAATCTACAAGATAAACTTTGAAATGAATATTTGTCGCG